ATGCTAGATCGGCGATCAACAACTTATATATATGCCAGATCAGTGGTCAACAGCTTATATTTATCCTAGATCAACTATCAATAGCTTATATATATATGAGATCAGCTATAATTAGTTTATATATAGTGTCAATTAGTTATTATCAGCTTACATAATCTTGCATAATATTGCATAATTATATATACACTGAAAAAAAATGCCCGATTCCCATACGTGATAGGATGTAAAATTCTGTGTGATTTTTGAAATACATTCCGAATATTATACAACAATTCTCAGAATGATAGGAAAACTAGCTACTAAATATTAAACACCTAGATTCTATGGATAGAATGGGTCTGTGCGCGGTCATAGAGTTCTGTTATATCTCATTATATCCGAAACCTTAATTGAATTCCGAGTTTTTTTTTTCTAGTAAAACGTTACATTTATTTTGTGTATTGCCTATTTATTCTTGTTTCGGACTCATTCAAGAAGGTGTATATTTCAACAATCTTCTGATGATAGCTCAACTATCTTCTGGCAAGTATCAATCTTATTGGATGGGTACTCCATTTACAATTTGAATTTCATTATTTGATTGATCAAAAAATATACTTCTTGTACTTTTATTTAAAAATAGTTCACGGGAAATAGTTTACAAATGGGTTTTTATTTTATTTTATTAAAAAAATCTCAAAATAGGTTCTCTAATAATCGGCCTTGGATAGTTGGCATTTGGTCTGGGCATTTGATCTAGACATTTGACATTGGGTCTTTGTTTTGCATTCTCGGTTTTGGGTTCTTGATTTTGGGTACTGCGATTCTACTTTGATCATTAATAATATCTCTTACCTTTCGGGATAAATAAATGGGAATACTGCAATACCTCTTTGAATATTAAGGGAAGGGGCAGAATCTTGGGATGACCAAAATCGATTTTGTCATTTTCAAAACATGTGTGTACAGACCAGATTTATTCTTTGGAAATAGAGGATCATATTGCTACGGATAGCATTTATATAATTGTTGGTGTACTCCAAGTATTCCTAATAGAAAGGGAAAAAAATATGATTAGTATGAGAGAATAATAATTATAAAGTCTTGCTTACCAGAAAAAGTGATTCTTTGGCATCCTTTTAATGCGTGCGTGCAAAAGAGAGATAGAGAAAATCTAATAAATTCAAAATGATAATGAAGAAAGTATAACGTTAATATAAGTGATTAGAAGATATTCTATTAAAGCTTACCATGTTTATTTCCATCATTAGCTTTTGATGGTTGTCATCATCATCGTTTTGCATCTAAAGATTAATAAGCTGATGATTAGCATCGCGCAATAAAAGTTGTTTGCTTTCTTATTCACCTTTGTAAGCCAGTGTGTTATGTTAACTCGTGCAGGAAGCCCTACATAATAAAGACGATAGAAGTTTTTTAGTGTTAATAATCATGTAAAATAAAGTAAAAAGAAAATATTAAGTATTTACCATAGTGTAGAAAAAGAAGCAAAAGTAAACAGTATAAGAGAAAGAGAGAGAACAAAAAAAAAGAAAATAAAAAAAAAGAAAAATAAAAAAACAAATTGTAAGAGTAGTGAATAAGCTCATTCTGTTCTCAGAATTTATTAGGGTCTATTATAATTTAAAACGTGTGTCCCTATAATTTTTTCTTTTGTTGCTGTACACCCAAGAAGTATTGGGACATATAAATACTACTTCTATTTGCCAGATTATTATATCCTCCCTCACATTTTATTAGAAACCTCACATACTATTACTGTGCTTTACCATGTATGTTTGTATAATTAAAATAATATTTCATAATATTCTTCTATATATGCTTTATTTATTTATATTTATTTATTTTTTAAAAAATATGTAAATATCTGTAGCATGCCTTCCAATGCCACTAGAAAATCAGGACGCAAAGGCAAACAGAATGCCCGAGGAACACTTAGCCGTGTTGCTGCCGGCCGGATTGAGCAACGTGAGATTGCTCCAAGAGTATCGCCACTTGCAGCTGGTCCAAGTGGGGCAGAGGCTCCTGGAATGACTGTCGAGTCCCTAACGCAGGTTATGGCAGCCATCAACATGATGTACGATCGTACTGTCGAAGCCAACACTGGAATTCGTTTTCTGGTCGATGCTCACAACCAAGCCATTGCCCAGCAAGCTCTTGTTGCATCTTCTGTAACTCAGGGAGTAACTGCCGCCAATGTGTCTACAAATAGACACACCAAAGGCGAAATGTGTGCAATTGTTCTGGTATGATTTTTTCTGACTTCATGCTTTAACACACTACCTAAATAATAATAATAATAATCATATAGAATCTCATCAATGGGAGAATGTGGGCGAGAAACTTCCGTTCGAATGATCCTGAGCTTGTTGCTGAAAACGAAAGCCGCAGGCGATGGAACACGGATGAGAGGATCGATCATCCTGACAATGTTGAGGTGATTAATTACCTCCGACAGTATATCGTTGCCCAGCCTCGCACAGCTGGGTTCTGGGAGGATATGATAGTGCAGAAAATAAAAAACAATTACAAGACATGTTTTCGTGCTGTCAACGCAACCCCCGAGCAAGCGTCTTCCAAAAGGCGCAATAATCGTATCAACAGCCATCGCATTGAGGTAAAATTACAAACAAAAAAAAGAAATTAAATATTTTGCATTCTGTTCTAATCATTTTAAAATATATCTAGATTCACTTGCGTCGTGTTGATACCTACATTAACAATTGGCTAGCAATTGACACTAAGATGGGATACAAGCCAGGTAACCCTGATGAGATGGCATACTTGCATCTCCTCGAGAAGAGTGTGATGTCTGATGGTGAATCGGAAGATGAGGACGTCACTCCTATAATCCGTGTGCGGGTTTTGCAGGTTGCTCGTCCTAGTTGGAGAAGTGCTGAGGTAATTTTTTTTAAAGGTGTACACTATAATATATTTCTATAAAAAGATGACTGTACAGAAATAAACTAACTAATTATACATAGCTGAATAGGCTTATTCAGTTCATTGATTTCTTGGCAGCAGAGAATGACAAGAAGATTGCAACACCACAATCAAAGCAAAGAATGCCCAGATACCTAAAAATCATTGCGGTCACTCCTGTCCCCGGTCACCTGACCGCGATCCTTCCTGTCTGGGCAATTCAAAACCAATAAAAACAAACAATTTGCTCTCTTTTTTTTTCACTGTCATATTAAAAAAATTGAATAATATTATTAGAAAGAAAAGAAGGGATAATTATATATTTTAAAAGTAAAGTTTTCTAGGCAAAGGAACAATAAGTTTTTTGCTGATATTTCGTAATGTTGTATGGTCAACAATTGCAACAGGAAGGAGAATTCGGTGCACTGGCAAGATGCTTTGAAAGTCAGGCAAAGAAAACGCGACATCCCATATTTCTACGCCTGCAATTTTTCTACTTGTCTCCTTGGAAGCCTTGTACCATTTTACATAAGCAAATGTATGTTGGCTACTTTGGGGTGTTCTGTGATGTGGAGTAGAAACAAGTGGACTAAATGAATGAACAAATAGGTACTGAATCTGTCCGACATACGCATACTTTGCTCCGTTTCGACCTTCTATGAACATTGCTTGTATATATGATCCTCTTCCATTCGTACCTCTACTTCCCTTGAATGTCTGTCCAAGGAGGTTGACAGATTTGAGCATTTCGATCCAGTCATTGACGAAAGCTGTATCTTGAATCACGTCTTTGCAACTGGAGATGGTGGGATCGTTGTAAACAGCTTGGTAATATCCTACCAAACAATCATACTCCTGTCTTGGCATCATCTCATATGCTTTTTTTTGCAAGGGCAGCGCTGATGGTGGCAAAGGCTCGTTACCACGAATTGACAAGTTCGGATTTTCGGCAGCATCAAGAAAGTCTGGTAGAGAGAACCAATTGTACAAGGCGGTGCTAGTTGTAGAATCAGCAGGACTATAACCAGTTACCAATTTATCGAAGATGCCGGAGAAATTGAATGGACCAGATGTCTTCAAGAAATTGCGAACAAAATCGCCTTTACGGGTATCTTCAATGAATGTTTTCATGTATGTCATTTCAAAGCCGCTCCTTCTGTTGGTATTGATATTCTTTAGGACGCTGTTGTATCGCTCGAAACTAAAGAGCCAGTACCCATAAACAGGCCCAAAGTCCTTGATTGTGTCGCGAAGATGAAGATGGAGATGCATGTTTGGAGATAACAGATCCTTGCTATACAGCCTTTCACAACCTTTACCGAACTTCTCAAGTGCTATGTGTGCTGACTGTACATCATCTTCGGAAACATTTGGCTTGGTAAGGAAACGGCAGGCATTCACAAAAAACATCCAATTCTCAAACTTTTGCTTTGGTAGTACGCCTTGTAGAACCACTGGAGAGTATACCAGACACCACGATTTCCACTCGTCTGCCTTCATAAAGGGAAATCCCTTTGAAATCTTTGATCTTAGCATGGTGTAATCAGGCGGCAATGTCATGTTTTCAACGATTTTCTGCATGGCAACGAGTTTTTTATTGTCAATTAGACCATCTGCAACCCATTTCTCCATCATCCTCTTGGCTGTGCCTAAGAAGAGATTGTGCATTGGATCAATGATCGTGCAGCGGACAACGTCAAAGTACTGGAGACGATGCAGTTCGGACCAGCGAACACCATTTTCAACTTCAAGACGATGTCTCTCAGCTTCAGTGGTTGCATTCCTCCAGACCTCAGCATCCTTACAATTATCATTCTTAGTGCGAAGGAGCCACTTTGAGAAATCAAATCCAGAATAATCGACAGAGCTCGTTCCAGCTAATCGGGAGAATTGGCGATTACATTTGTGGCATGCGTTTGTACTGGTATGGGACGTGAATCCACACACTTTTCGGGCAGCAGGGATGTCGCAGGCAACCATAAACAGAGCAGCGCGGATGGTGGTACCATTTGGGCATTGATATGTCTGGACTCTGACTCCCTTGTACAACTTTTCTAATTCGTCAACCAGAGGTCTGAGGTACGAATTTATCTCGGATGTTTTTGCTTCTTTCAGACCTGGCATTAACCCAACGAGAATGACATTTTCTTTCTTGAATCTTACACTTCGAGGAAGATTGTTTACAGCCAGGTAAATTGCACCACACGAATATGTCACACCGTCGAATGGCTGGAACCAGTCAATGTTTAAGGTCAACATCAGTAAGCGGTTGCCATGAACAAAGGGAATTCCATTGGTGTCTTTCAAATCCTTCCACATCAAGCCATCGTACACATCGAACATAGTATTCTCAGCCTTCGGGCTACGGTTCCACGAGTCGATTTGGGTTTCAAAATCAGGCCGAGAAAAGAGAGCTTTGATCGAATTCTGAACAGAGTGATACACATATGTTCTTTTTGGAATGGATGACTGATTTCCCGACTTGAACAAACTATTACCGCACATTGAGTTATTCCCAAATTTATCAAAGATACAGAAGCGGGGTGTTGATTCATTGTTCTCATATATGCTGTGACATTCGCTACAAGAAACATATTTCTTTATACCGTCTGTAAAGGTATTGAATCCTGCCATGCTTTTGAGACCAGGGATGCTAACTGGGAGACGGAATGGATCTCTGAAAAGCTCGAGTATTTTGTTCATGATGGCAATGAGAAGAATGGCGCCTTCATCGACGACGTACAAGGATACAAATAGTGCAAGGACCTGTACGATAAAACGATGGATGAAACTCAATTCTGAGTTGAATTCAGGAAAGTTGTCTTTTTTAAAAAAAATTAATTTCTATTATTTTATACAGCAGAACCCAATATCCATTATGAAAGTGTGCAAACCTTCACTATCAAGCATGTCATCCTCACTGGAATCGTCTTCGCAACCGTCAGAATCAAGATCAGAGTTAAACTCTTCATTCTCATAACCAAAGACAGCATCGGATTCTGAGAGAGGTAAGACTCGAATAGGCTCTTGTGTCTCCATGTCTACTTCTATACTGGTGTCCATTTCTACCGGAACCATAAAAGAAGTTAGAGCAAATAAAAATAAAAATAAAAATATATATTTTTACCATCAAAGTCATAATCCATATCATAATCATTGTCTATGGCCACCGAGTTCTGTTCATCATTGTTGATAACTTCAGGAACATAGCTTACAGTAGTTTCGACTGATCTCTTAATAATCACTACATTACATATGTTATTAAATCGAAAATATAAATGTAAATATAATTAAAACATAAAAGAAAATTCCCTACATCTATTACGAAAGATGTTCATTCCAGCATCGTCTCTTCTTTTATGAAAATTAAATGTCTGTACAGACACTGTATCTGATCCTCCAAATCTTGTCTTGCAAACAGAACATTTGCATTCTTTTGTTTTGTTTGATTTACGGGTTGGTGCCATTGCTTAATAATTATTAAAATAATATTATTTTTTAAACAGTAAAGAAGATAAATATATATTCAGGTACAGTTTATTTCATTCAATTTAAGTTTATTATTGTATTTTTTTATGCTACTCGGTGCTCTATGACCAATAGAATCGTTTTAAAAAAATTGCAATGCTTATTCTACAAAAAAAAATCCTGCACTACAAATTTGGGTTTTCTGTTCACCGAATTTTACATCCCATCACGTATGGGAATCGGGCATTTTTTTGCAGTGTATAATATTAGATGGTTGTAGTTGTAGTCTCTCAATTAAGTATTTGTATAATAAAAGAAATATGTAGATGAAATATAATGATGCCATATATATAATGTATATGTATTTGTATATCCCATGTCATGGTGATAATAATAAATAATCAATTATGTGTATGATGATCTGTGTATTAGATAATATCATAAAGGGAGATCCGTTTGACTGGAATAGCTGAGGATATTATTTTATCCTTCAGTCTTACTCTCAGATTCAGCAGTAATCAATACTCATTCACAACATTAACCAAACATTTTTGTTTATAAAAGAAACAACCTTTTCAATCAATAAAATCATCATTCTATTTTTGATCTTATTTTATTTTGTCCGTTATTATCATTATTTTTCATTTATATACAGTGTCTTTGTTCTTTGGAGTTTTGTCTGTCAATCTTGATATATTTCGTTTCCCTATTTTCTCTTTTCTGTCTTTCTCTAACTTTGTTGTTGTCATAATTTCCATTTTTATCTTCTTCCTATTTTCTTCTACCTGTCTGTCACCAATTCTTACCTGTCAAATTACCCATTCTTTTTGATTCTTACTGTACTCTTCTTCTTATATTTTGTAATTCATATTACATTTACGCTAATTCTAAGGGAACAACGTTTTGAGATGGGAGACAACATTTTCAGGTTGGAGACAACATTTTTTTTTGTATGAGACAAAGTTTTATTATTAAATTGCCCAAAAACAGGTCATACTTTCTAAAGAAGGACAGGTAGATGCCTGGAGAGAGATTGATGAACACACAAAGTGTGGGGACAATGTAGTAGGAAACAATAAAATTACAAAGAAGAGGGAAACAAAATTAACAGAAGAAAAAGAATGAAGAGAATAAATATTACAGGATAAAGTAGAAAGTAGATAGAGCACAAGAGTGAGAGATCTAGTCTAGAAGATGGGAAGACTGAAAGATAAATTGAAGCGATTTGTTCACAGAAACAACTACATTGGCAGGAACAAAAAGCATATTGTCAAAAATTGTGCACCAGTATGCTTTTCACACTGCAGCAAGAACACTGTCCAAAACATAGTATGAGTCAATATGAGGAGGGAAGGGAGGGAGAACAAGAGCATAAAAGACACAAAGGATTATAGACAGTTGGGCTTTCCATTGTGGTATCCACATATGCATAGTCATAGTCCAAACTTGCCAAACGAGAAGACACTCAACAAGGAAATGTTCAGAAGTCTGGTTAGAGTTACCACATAGATGGCACTTGGGGGAGGCGATAAGGCTGGGGATAATAGCATGCAGGATGGAAGCTGAGGAAAGAAAGTTATGTAGAAGTTGAAACCATATGTTGCAGGTGGAAGTACACAAGGTCAAAGACCAGAAGAAATTCCATTAGCAAGGTGACAGACATGAGACTGATTGGCGGGGGTTTGGATTGGGAGGGGGGCATAGGAGTCAAAATGAACATCAGGAAAGTTTGAGTTGTCTTATAAAAAAGGCAAAGGATATTGAGAGGTGCATAGAGTCAACTGTGCCATATGAGCTGTTATGGGAAGTGGAAGGGTGGGAGGGTGGAAGGCAAAGAGAGGCAAAGAAGAAGTGTATGATCTGTGTGTGTGTGTCAGCAATGCAGAAAGATCGGTTGATGAGGATTGGATATGTTGTTTGAAAAGATAGAGGGAGACGAGAAAAACAGAGAAGTAAAGGATTGTAGTAGAAAGCATCAGAAACCAACAGTTGATGAAAGTGAGAATTAGAAAGAAAAGTGTTATGTGGTAAAGAATGATATATAGCACTAAGAAGAAGAGAAAAACATGTAGCAAAAGAAAGAGAAGGAGGTATGTCTAAGGAAGGTAGTTTATCATAAGCAGAAAAGAATAAATACAGCACAGAAGGGAAAGGAAAAGTGCCTTTGTGACTGGTAGAAAAAAAGAAAAAGAATGTAGAATCAAGCAAATGAAAAGGGGAAGCGGAAGAATACGTAGAAATATGAGCACATAGCCAACGAATAGGAATAGAGAGTGTGGCACAAGCAGAAAAGAGAAGAAGAAGAAGCCATCAAAATTGAAGGGCATACTGTTAGGCAGCTGGATATATGAGACTCAGCCCTCCAACGGACTGTGGAAGACATAATGTAGCATATTTTACTCTTGGAAACATGCGACACATGACAAACGTACCAACAATAGACCGTAGAGTATTCATGAAGGTCTTTGGAAACCAAACAAGACAAAGAACGTGCCAAAGACAAGAAAGAATGAGAGAGTTAACAATTGTGGTGCGTCCACAAACTGAAAGGTAATGTTGAGAGTGCAACTATGTTGCCAAGTATATATCATTGAGAAGTTTTGCGCCAAATACATTGCGTTATGTAATGATGTAGATGAGTGGATAGCCTAGGTAAATTGCCAGCAAGGAAGAGGAGCAATCATACCACAAGATGATGCCGACAGATTGGAGAGGGATCTGCCATTCTGGTAGTGTGGATCCGGACAGAGAGAGGGCATGGGTTTTGTGCATATTGATCTTATCATTAGATGCTAGGCCATAAGTATGAAGATGTTTGTTGACGCGGTGTAAATCTTCAGGATCCTTGAGAAAGGCAAGAAAATTATCAGTATAGGCTAATACTTTAAGAGAAGTGGATGGAACAGATTGGGGAATTGTGTAGCCTTGAAAAAGAGAATAATCAAGTATATGAAGGAGCAAAGGTTCGAGGACAAAGTTGAAAAGGACAGGAGATAGCAGGTTACCTTGGCGTACACCTCAGGATTGAAGGACAGAAGAAGAAATGTAACCATTGACATTAAAGTGTATGCAAGTCTGGAAGAAAAGGGAAGTGATAGAAGTGACAAATGAATGTAGAAACCCATATTTGAGGAGGACTGTTTGAAGATATTGAGAATAGATGTGGTCATAGACTTTTTCCTGGTAAAGAAGGATGCCAATTGCAGTAGAAGAAGTCTTGTGGGCTTGTTCCATAACCAATTTCACCAAAAGGTTGTTACCACAATAAATCGAAAGGGAAGGAATCCAGTTTGATATGGGTTAAGGACAGTATTGGCGATTGGGGCTGGATATTGAGGACGCAGATAAAAATTTTAGTATCACAATTAATGAGAGAAATCGGGCGCCAGTTATAGAGGAGAGACAGGTCACTTTTCTTTGGAAAAAGCCGCACACAAGTATCTGTCCAAGAAGAAGGAAATAAGGAATGGATGAGAGCATCATTGTAGACACGCGTAATTAAAGAGGCATATAGGGGGTGTTGGAATAGTACAGCTAGAATAATGTAAGGCAAACCATCTGGGCCAGGGCTACTAGATTGTGGGGCCCTGGAGACGCATTGTTGAATGTCATCCAAAGTAAAGGTGGTGGTAAGAAGGTTTTGTTGTGTGAAAGTGATGTGGTGGAAAGATGTAATGGAGGAAAGAAGCTGGTCCACGGCATGATAATCAATAGGATCAGGCAAAAACGAAGACGAATAGGAAGCAGTGGTAGTGATCATCATAGTGTCGGGAGTAGTGTGTAGTACATTGGTATCAGGATGGTAGAGAGGGGACATATTCTGTTGCTGCATATAGATGACAATGACTTTCTTGAGATAGCCAACAGATGTCTCCCCATGTTTTCTCCAGTGAAGTTCAGCTTGAAGGGAGACAGTGTCAACAAGTTCTTGCTGGATTGCTGCAATTTGTTGGTCATATTTAGAAAGAAGTAGAAGGCGAGCAGCTAGTATAGGTTTTGACTGCAAAAACTGACTCCATTTGCTCTGGAGTAATTTGAGCAGTTTTTTTCTGATACGTAGTATAGTGTTCACCAAATTTCTTGGCGGTCCTAATCATAGTAGCTTTGACAACTTCCCACTGGTGTTGTGTGTCATCTGGAGGAAGGAGAGAAAAGAGGCGAGTGAGAGCAGAATCGAGGGCAGAAAGAAAGGCGGGATTGGAGGCAAGAGAAGGGTGAGTGCGCCATAATCCATGCCCTTTGTCGGATGTGCCTAGACAAATAGTAGCCTGAAGCAGAGCATGGTCGGTCCACAAAGGAGAGATAAACTGGACATCGTGGTTGACAATTGAGGAGGACATAGAGTATGGTACAAATATATAGTCTATAGTAGTGGTAGAAGAACTGCGGCTAAAGGTAGAAAGTGGTTTTGAGTCGAGAGAGGTATGACAGTTGACAAAGTAAGATCCAAGATAATATTGCCAAGGAAGAGGTGCCATGCGTAGTGAGGTGGGGTTAAGGAAAGAGAAATTAAAGTCGCTCAGGATGAAGAGTCGATTCTGGATGGTGGGATTATTAAGAATAGCAAATGACTGTAAATCAAAATAAAAGGCAGAACGAGCAGCAGGAGAGGTGGGTGCATATACAACAGGAACATAGAAAGGATCAACACTAGAAGACGTATGAATTACCTTGGCAAGAATAGCACGATCGTCTTCAGGAATGGGGATACGTTCAAGAGAGAGAAGAGGAGAAAGAGTAACTAAACCACATTGATAAGTCCAAAGGGAGCCGCTGTCGCAAAATTGATTGTGTATAACAGTAGATAGTGAGGTAGAGGCATATGTTTTTTATAAAGCAATTATATCAGAAGAGGTCACTGCAAAAAAATGCCCGATTCCCATACGTGATGGGATGTAAAATTCGGTGGACAGAAAACCCAAATTTGTAGTGCAGGATTTTTTTTTGTAGAATAAGCATTGCAATTTTTTTAAAACGATTCTATTGGTCATAGAGCACCGAGTAGCATAAAAAAATACAATAATAAACTTAAATTGAATGAAATAAACTGTACCTGAATATATATTTATCTTCTTTACTGTTTAAAAAATAATATTATTTTAATAATTATTAAGCAATGGCACCAACCCGTAAATCAAACAAAACAAAAGAATGCAAATGTTCTGTTTGCAAGACAAGATTTGGAGGATCAGATACAGTGTCTGTACAGACATTTAATTTTCATAAAAGAAGAGACGATGCTGGAATGAACATCTTTCGTAATAGATGTAGGGAATTTTCTTTTATGTTTTAATTATATTTACATTTATATTTTCGATTTAATAACATATGTAATGTAGTGATTATTAAGAGATCAGTCGAAACTACTGTAAGCTATGTTCCTGAAGTTATCAACAATGATGAACAGAACTCGGTGGCCATAGACAATGATTATGATATGGATTATGACTTTGATGGTAAAAATATATATTTTTATTTTTATTTTTATTTGCTCTAACTTCTTTTATGGTTCCGGTAGAAATGGACACCAGTATAGAAGTAGACATGGAGACACAAGAGCCTATTCGAATCTTACCTCTCTCAGAATCCGATGCTGTCTTTGGTTATGAGAATGAAGAGTTTAACTCTGATCTTGATTCTGACGGTTGCGAAGACGATTCCAGTGAGGATGACATGCTTGATAGTGAAGGTTTGCACACTTTCATAATGGATATTGGGTTCTGCTGTATAAAATAATAGAAATTAATTTTTTTTAAAAAAGACAACTTTCCTGAATTCAACTCAGAATTGAGTTTCATCCATCGTTTTATCGTACAGGTCCTTGCACTATTTGTATCCTTGTACGTCGTCGATGAAGGCGCCATTCTTCTCATTGCCATCATGAACAAAATACTCGAGCTTTTCAGAGATCCATTCCGTCTCCCAGTTAGCATCCCTGGTCTCAAAAGCATGGCAGGATTCAATACCTTTACAGACGGTATAAAGAAATATGTTTCTTGTAGCGAATGTCACAGCATATATGAGAACAATGAATCAACACCCCGCTTCTGTATCTTTGATAAATTTGGGAATAACTCAATGTGCGGTAATAGTTTGTTCAAGTCGGGAAATCAGTCATCCATTCCAAAAAGAACATATGTGTATCACTCTGTTCAGAATTCGATCAAAGCTCTCTTTTCTCGGCCTGATTTTGAAACCCAAATCGACTCGTGGAACCGTAGCCCGAAGGCTGAGAATACTATGTTCGATGTGTACGATGGCTTGATGTGGAAGGATTTGAAAGACACCAATGGAATTCCCTTTGTTCATGGCAACCGCTCACTGATGTTGACCTTAAACATTGACTGGTTCCAGCCATTCGACGGTGTGACATATTCGTGTGGTGCAATTTACCTGGCTGTAAACAATCTTCCTCGAAGTGTAAGATTCAAGAAAGAAAATGTCATTCTCGTTGGGTTAATGCCAGGTCCGAAAGAAGCAAAAACATCCGAGATAAATTCGTACCTCAGACCTCTGGTTGACGAATTAGAAAAGTTGTACAAGGGAGTCAGAGTCCAGACATATCAATGCCCAAATGGTACCACCATCCGCGCTGCTCTGTTTATGGTTGCCTGCGACATCCCTGCTGCCCGAAAAGTGTGTGGATTCACGTCCCATACCAGTACAAACGCATGCCACAAATGTAATCGCCAATTCTCCCGATTAGCTGGAACGAGCTCTGTCGATTATTCTGGATTTGATTTCTCAAAGTGGCTCCTTCGCACTAAGAATGATAATTGTAAGGATGCTGAGGTCTGGAGGAATGCAACCACTGAAGCTGAGAGACATCGTCTTGAAGTTGAAAATGGTGTTCGCTGGTCCGAACTGCATCGTCTCCAGTACTTTGACGTTGTCCGCTGCACGATCATTGATCCAATGCACAATCTCTTCTTAGGCACAGCCAAGAGGATGATGGAGAAATGGGTTGCAGATGGTCTAATTGACAATAAAAAACTCGTTGCCATGCAGAAAATCGTTGAAAACATGACATTGCCGCCTGATTACACTATGCTAAGATCAAAGATTTCAAAGGGATTTCCCTTTATGAAGGCAGACGAGTGGAAATCGTGGTGTCTGGTATACTCTCCAGTGGTTCTACAAGGCGTACTACCAAAGCAAAAGTTTGAGAATTGGATGTTTTTTGTGAATGCCTGCCGTTTCCTTACCAAGCCAAATGTTTCCGAAGATGATGTACAGTCAGCACACATAGCACTTGAGAAGTTCGGTAAAGGTTGTGAAAGGCTGTATAGCAAGGATCTGTTATCTCCAAACATGCATCTCCATCTTCATCTTCGCGACACAATCAAGGACTTTGGGCCTGTTTATGGGTACTGGCTCTTTAGTTTCGAGCGATACAACAGCGTCCTAAAGAATATCAATACCAACAGAAGGAGCGGCTTTGAAATGACATACATGAAAACATTCATTGAAGATACCCGTAAAGGCGATTTTGTTCGCAATTTCTTGAAGACATCTGGTCCATTCAATTTCTCCGGCATCTTCGATAAATTGGTAACTGGTTATAGTCCTGCTGATTCTACAACTAGCACCGCCTTGTACAATTGGTTCTCTCTACCAGACTTTCTTGATGCTGCCGAAAATCCGAACTTGTCAATTCGTGGTAACGAGCCTTTGCCGCCATCAGCGCTGCCCTTGCAAAAAAAAGCATATGAGATGATGCTAAGACAGGAGTATGATTGTTTGGTAGGATATTACCAAGCTGTTTACAACGATCCCACCATCTCCAGTTGCAAAGACGTGATTCAAGATACAGCTTTCGTCAATGACTGGATCGAAATGCTCAAATCTGTCAACCTCCTTGGACAGACATTCAAGGGAAGTAGAGGTACGAATGGAAGAGGATCATATATACAAGCAATGTTCATAGAAGGTCGAAACGGAGCAAAGTATGCGTATGTCGGACAGATTCAGTACCTATTTGTTCATTCATTTAGTCCACTTGTTTCTACTCCACATCA